CCCCAAAACCCCAAAACCCCAAAACCCCAAAACCCCATTAGTTGAATAAATCAGTGAAATTTTCAAAATAAATTAAACTTTTTAATAAAAATGAACTCTGTTGCAAGAAAACTACTCGTTGGAGGAAATTGGAAATCTCATGGATCCCTCAAGTTTGTCAAGAACTTTGCTAATGACACTTTGAATAAGGTATGGTATTGGAGGTCACCTCCCACACATTTTGAAGATTTGAGAGTTTCCTAGAGCCTAGATCAGCTTAGTGATATGTATGGGCAAAGAAAGATTGAGCCTCTACAAGGCTCTTAGTTTCTATGGTGATACAAATCATCCCGAGTATATTTCTTTCCCACTCCAATGTTGCTACAAAATATATTTACCAGACTGGGCTAGGCCTCCAGCTGAGAAATGTCGCCGATCTACCATTGTGAGATCTTGAAGGGAAAATTGATGAGATTTCTGGATATTTTTGGTTTGGACAGAGGTTAGCAAAGACTCTCAGGGTCGAGAGCTTCTATGGGCTTAGAATTAGAATATCCCTTCTTGTGAAGCATCTTAGCCAAGATATTAGCACAGCATTGAGTAGAATCTAAACCATGATTTTGTTAAAAGTTCATGGTTACATTTGATAATATCCAAGATTTCTCAAAAAGATCCACTCATGATTATGTATCAATAGAAAATCTTTTCAGGCTTCATTTATTTTTGTGAGAGATATGCTAACTTTGTTCTACTATAGATTGTATACGACACAAGCAAGGTCGAGATCGTTATTGCTCCTGTATCTATTCACTTGAAGGATGCTCAAGAGCACATCGCCAACAACATTCACATCTCTGCTCAGAACAGCAGTGCTTTCGAGGATGGAGCTTACACTGGAGAGATCAGCGCTTCCCAGTTGGCTAACTTCGGAATTGGCTGGACCATCCTTGGTCACTCTGAGAGAAGACACATCCTCGGAGAGTCTAACACCTTTGTTGCATCCAAGGTAAAGATTGCTGATGAATATGGACTCAACACTATTGCTTGTATTGGAGAGACTCTTGACCAGAGAGAAGCTGGAGATACCATCAAGGTCTGCACTGACCAACTCGATGCCATCAGAGCTCAAGTTGATGACTGGAGCAGAATCGTTATTGCTTATGAGCCAGTCTGGGCCATTGGAACTGGAAAGACTGCCACCTCTGAACAAGCTCAGGAAGTTCATGAACAAATTAGAGCTTGGTTGAATGAAAACATTAGTGAAGAAGCTGCTAACAACACCAGAATCCTCTATGGTGGATCAGTCAATGCAGGTAATGCTGACGAGCTTATCCAGAACCCAGACATTGATGGATTCCTTGTTGGAGGTGCTTCTCTCAAGCCAGAGTTTGAATCCATTGTTAAGGCTTGTAACGATGTATCCAAGTAATCACTAATGGTTATTCTGAATATGATCTGCAAAATATTTCACCGGTTTTGTTAGCATAGTCAATACTAGAGGTTAATATTCATTTTCTCAAACGGGCTGAGGGGTTTTGGGGTTTTGGGGTTTTGGGGTTTTGGGGTTTTGGGG